AATCTAATTAAACGTCTGTCCTTCTAGCAAGACATAGTGACACTCAGTTGTGCTTTCCAAACAAAACCTGCCAGCACACAAGACACATTTCAATTCAATTATCGTTTAAACGTACCTGTCATGGATGACTTCCCAAATGAACCAATTGCAATTTTGGATTAGTTCCATAAGTTGCCTTGAAATACTAAAAATGGCAGAATTTGCCATCACTAAATTGGTTAACCTCTGACTGCTGAAGTTAGCAAATCATGATGGCGGATCTCGAGCTTTCCTGAGCGCTCTAATGGAAGCCTGTGGATGTTTGGTATGATGGAGTTCATGAGCATTAATGTAACTTGGAGGACGCCCAAGTCACACATTTGCGGGTGAGTGTGTGATTGCAGGAAGCTGAACCTTCATTATAAATCTGCCTGGTTGTTATTAATGCAAATTGCTTTTTTGATCTTGTGCTGCATCATTGTATTGAAATCCATAACGTACAGAAAACCGAGAAATGTTGTCAGTAACCTTGCCTGAACACACTCCGAGTTCCCGCACCTTTTAACAAATGAATTTCTGTGGCTTTTACAGTCATTCATGATTGCTGGATTAGTTTGCAAGCAATTGTAACGTTTATTATATAAAAAGATATGATAACCATAGAAATGTCATTTTTAATCATGTGAATCATTTTTTCAATCATATGAAATTTCATATGGCTTGGAAATCACAATTTTTAAAATGACTTTTATGATTACTTGGTTACTCTGCATTACAGGATTAAAAATCATATAGTTTGCAATCAACTTTTATATAAATATGTCCTTTTGAAATCAAGATTTTAAAATTATTGTATGCATATCAGGGTTATTATAATGAATTAAAACTACAAATTAAAATGTAAAAAACTAAAAGTATTTTTAGTTTAACTTTAAGTACTGAAATAACTAAAACTGAAACCAATTCTGAAAATACGAACTATATAGACATTAAAAACAAAACAAACAAACAAACAAAAAAAGGCAAAAACACAGCAAAATTTAAAATGAAAACAGGAAATGTAAAAATCTAAAAATTCTAAATATTAACAAAAACTATAATAGTATACGATGATACTAAAATTACGCTTATTAATTTAATTAACTACATGTCTTAAAAATGTATTTCTGTGATTTTTTTCCCCTAGTCATTCAATTTAAAAAATATATATATTTACTATAGAAATTTAATTTCTAATCACGACTTTTAAAAGATTTCATGCATATCAGGGTTATTATACTTAATTCAAACTAAAATTCAAACTTTAACTTAAAATTTAAAATAAAAAAATTGAATTAAAAATATTTTAGTTTGGCTTTATGCACTAAAATAACTAAAACTGAAATAAAAAAATTATTACAACCTATTTAAAAAACAAAGCTAATAAAAATGACAAAAACACCACAAAATGAAACCTTTAACAAAATTTAAGATGAAAATGGAAAATATAAAAATAAAAATGAATTCAAAATAATTAGCCTACAAAAAAGCATATCAAAGTACACTAAAATAACACTGATGCATACTGTGTATTCAAATGATTTAATTAAATACAGATCATAATTAAAAAATGTTCTGATATTTTCAGGTTTCCTTTGCCAGAAGTAACCTATGAAATAAAGTACTTGCATTTATAAAGAGTTTAATCTATTAAAACACATGATTGACACCCAACATAATTTCTTCCATCCTGCGCTGTCTCTTTTGAAAGTGCAACCATAAATAGGCCACAAGTTTGGTTACACTTGCAATGAAAAGATGATGAAATGCAATGCGAATATACTTATCATGCATTGAAAATACTTTTTATAATGCATTATAAATACAGGCCTCGGGTCAAGTGTTACCATCTCCTCTCTTTGTCATTTTTTGAGCACTAAACACACATTTGAAGGCTTGCGACCCTTTGACTGGTTTTAAAGCGAGGCTGAATCTTTAATGTTGTAAAGCAAATGTAAGAATGCCTGAGGGGCTGCTGCCATCTGAACGGGGTTTATTGATGCATTTCGAGTGAAAGATGATGTTCCTCTTCCATCTCTTTGCTCTTCACTGTAAATGATAACAAGACTCCGCATTGTGCACAGAAATCAGTTCCACATCATTGTACTTTTTACAATACCACATGCTTAATTTTCGCACTCTCACATATATTTGTCTAAATACTCTTTGCATTTACAGTATGTGATTAAATATTCTGGTAAACACCCACACTACTGAATTATAGATCACAGTGTAATGCTGTATTCACTCTGTTTTGGGCTGAAGGTTGAGATTGAATTTTTAATATTTATCCAGAAAAAAATGTTTTTGCACAGTAATATATGTACTTAGATGCAGCCGCCGCATCCACGTCTCACACAGATGTAGATGTTGATAGATCAATGGTACGTATTGTATTCGAACCATGGTATATTTTTCCTATTAGATTTTATGACATCCAATAACAAAAATAGATTTAGTTGTTGTTGTTGTTATTATTATTATTGAAAAAAATAAATACAAATTTGTGTAAATTTCCATATTGAAATTGGTCAATTCTATTTATTTCCTGAATTTATATGCAAAAAAAAAAAAAAAAAAAATTCGAAGATGTAAATAAAACAAAGATTATTGCCATACATTTTGCAAGAAAACTTCTAAATTTTAAGTTTAATTCAATGTTACTTACCGTTTCTTAGTAATTATTCCAATTAAGACAAAATCTTTACCAATTACCACTAGGTCTTTTATATATATATTTAGTTTATTTAGTATAATTAGTTTTTGGGGGGCTGCACTGTGATCCGTTAATAGAGTCTTTTAATGTCATCTAATGATTCTTGTTATAAATATCTTTTGTTATATGAACTATTGTTATGCTAAATTACATTTTAGTGGGTGCTTTCTGTAATTCATGGTGACAAATGTATGTTTGCTCATAAATAAATAAAATTAAACATGACATTCTAATGTTCGTGAAAAAATTAAAGCTGTATTTAACTTTTATTGTTTTGATTCTTGAAAACCCCTTTTTGTCTTTGACCCTTATTTCAGTAAAACTATGTTAGATAGTTGATCTGTGAACAACAGAATCTGTTTAACTTGTCAAAGATGCAGCAAACAAAAAATGTAAGTGTGGCACAAATGTGTATTACAGTATTTATACTATTTCACCTTTAAGTTTTCTGTGTTGCACATCTTGAAACTATATTTACAGTCATTTTCACTTGTACATGTGGGTAAATGCTGAATGACTATTAGAATAGTGCAATTTTGATGCATGTGTCTTCTGTTGATGAATATCCCTCTCTGGTACCATTCAGAAAAACATGCAATCAGTGTTGTGTTTTTTCTAAATAGAGTTAAAGTAAATGGTATGTTGCCATATGAAACACTGTACCGTAGATGGATATTCATGCTGTCAGATGGTGGGTGGACACTAAAGTAGAGAAATTCTTAAAAAGCACAATACGCTTCGGAGTGAGTCAACAGCACCCGAGACCACCCACCATATGCAGGTGGCAATAAATGAATGTTGCTGAAATGGAATACATCAGGTCGCTACATATGTTGAATAAATCAGACATGGATGATAAATGGTTTTCACATTCGCACCGCGTACAGAGGAAAGGCTGTTTAATTCTGCGGTGTCCAGGCCTTAGTGTTTTAGGAATCAGTTTCACGCTGTGTGGCTTTAGAAAGGTGAGTCCCTGCTGATGGGGGCCACACGTAATTTATTTCATTTTCCCAGATGCCATTTACCCTTCCATCCGCTTCCACAGACACGGTGTGTTTACTCAAACATTAGAGGAACTGATTTAAACAAGGGCTGAAATGGAAATCCTCTGTTCATGTGGAGAAAAAGTGTGCGGTGGCCAGCACAGGGGTTGCCAGGTCTGCGTAACAAAACTAGCCCAATGGCCAATCAAAAATGACAATATTCCAAATATCAAAACTCAAAATATGCAATTCCAACACCAATATACATATTTTACAGTCACTGTTATGCAAATTGAAAACCACTATATTGTAGTGAACATAAACTCAGCTCAAAGGCTCCATACAGTACCAGTGGCCCTCCTTCAAAAAGTGGTAGAATATAAAATATTCCAATACATGCATTTCAGTCAAATATAATTTATGCAGTATGTCAAACTATTAACCCGTGGAGGAAGAATCAACCTGTGGCAACAGTTTAAAAGCCCAATTCTAATGGAAAACTGCAGACATGGCAACCCTGGGCTAGCAGCTCTGTTAGCATAAAAGCACTTCGCAAATAGCAAAAAAAAATTTTCTTATTTTTTTTTTAATTAAATACAACTGAATCCTCAAACAAAAATGTAAAAAAAAAACAAGTACACAAGTGGTTTATATAATAATAATAATTATTATTATTATTATTATATAATAATAACAATGATAACAATAATAATCAATTTACCAACCAAGTGGTAGTGTATTCACTGACTTTTTCCTAAATAATTCCATAAAGGTCATTGGACACAAATTTCTTACTTTTTCCTCTAATTTTCATTTCTTTAAATGTCAACACATCGTAAAACACAAGTGCAAACACGTACTGCAGGCATGTAGGACTACTCCCCAGCATTTGGTCATAAACATCAACCTGACCTAGTTCCCTCAATAATAAATTAATTGCATTCTTTTTCCATTCTCCCATTCAATACTTGCAAGAGAGGCAAATATCTGATGCACCTTGACAACATGAAGTCAGACACAAAAAAATGGATGTGGAAACAAGAGTTTGGTCTCTCAAACAGGAAAAGTATTTTGCACCACAGTCATTCTGCTACTTTACAGAAAGAAAACAGCACTTGGTTCTTCATTGCAAACTGTGGTGAACGAATTATAAAACACTGAATGTTTTTCTTTGAACAACACAGCTCATATTTGGCTGATTTACCTCAGTCCAGAAGAGGACGGAGCACCTCATAATACTGGACCAAAGTACCTCAAAACAGTTAATTAGTTCATATCTGGTGGTTCGAATGCTCCTTGTTGGCTCAAAATACTCTATTTTGGTTCCTTGGTCATGTATCCATAATCTCCCGTGCTGGAGTGGGTTCATGTGGGAGGCTTGTGGCATTCGGCAGAGCTTGTCCATGTCCCATCGAGTTCTGCTGGACTTCCATAGGAATTCCGGTTGCGTTCTCTCGATTTGGGAATTCTCGCGACTGTTTCCGGTACTCGAGAAAGGTGCATACCTTGGTCGCAATTGCCACCACATTCTTGCCGACAAAGATGGTGGAAACCCGGCTGTCCTGGAACAACACCATGTTGACGCCACGTATGAGGATGGTGACGATATTGATGGTAACCAGACTGAGAAGAGGATAGAGCATCATCTTCTGGGGAGACACGTGGTCGCCCTGCACGCTGATCTCACTCAGGGACACGCAGGGAAGAATCAGAAGCAAAATGTAGCAGTAGAAGAACATCAAACCTTCCGCCCAAATGGGCAAACCCGTCCGCTGCGGCTCCCAAAGGTTTGCCTGCATATCCAGCAGGTCCAGCAAGTCCAAAGCCACCCAGAAGAGCCGACCCCTCATGTCCTCCTTCCTCCGAAAGGTACGGACGTATTCCATGCTGTCCAGAGCCACCAGAACCAGGTAGAGGCCTGGCACACAAATGGACAACAATAAAGTCAAAGCCTTGCGGGCAACAGTCTCCAGACTCTTGCGATCAGCCTTACAGTTCTGGAAGACAAAGTAAAGCTTGATCTCCAACACGAAGATATAGAGGAACCAAAGGATCATGGCATATCCTCGTCGAGCCGTCCGCACTTCTGCTCCAACCCAAACCGCCACATAGCGAAGGACGATGAGAAAGCAGACGTCCCCAACAAGGACAATGATGCAGACGCCAATCTTTCGTGGCCCCTGATTCTGCTCCACCAGGTAGGCGTCCATGAATGCCATGCTGGTCATGATGACAAAGGTGGTAAGACACACATGCCGCTTGTTCGGTGGTGGCAACACCATGCTGAGGGCCACCACCGCATACACTCACTCACACCAATGTTGTCCGCTCTGTTGCACTTGGGTTCGAAGGACTCTCGAAGTAGCTGGTCAAGCCTTACTGAGCTGGTTGGAGCAGTTGCTTTTTCATCCCAGTTCAGTGAACTTTATGCATTTGCATTCCCTATATTTTGTAAACTTGAACAAAGTGAAAAGAAAGTATTCTACAAAAAAGCCAATTGCTCCCAACTGATAGTTGGATTCACTGCTTTGCAAGGGTCATATTGATTGTAAATCTGAAGAAACAGTGTTAAATTATACAAAGTGCCAAAAACGCTCCAGAGCAGGATTACTTTGCAATGGAAATGCAACTCTTGAAGACCGAAGAGACCTAGTTTTGCAATCTTGGTCTCGGCAAATGATTCTTCTCCGATTGATTGTAAATCTGAAGAAGCAGTGCTAAATGATTCAAAGTTCCAAAAAAGGTCCAGAACAGGATCACATTTCAATAGAAATGGCACTCTTGAAAACCGAAGAAACCTGTTTCACAGTCTTGGTCTTGGCAGATAATTCTTCCCTGGCGCACTAAATGGAAAAGAAATCCGCCCATTAATCAGCAGGGTCAAGCTTTATTGTGCTGGTTGGAGCAGTTGCCTTTTCAACGCAGCTCTGCTAACTTTGAAGGCATTTGCATTTCCAATATTTTGCAAACCTGACCCAGGAAAAAAGCCAATTGCTTCCAAATGACAGTTTGATTCACTGCTTTATAAGGGATGAACTGATTGTAAATCTGAATATATAGCGTTAAATGATAAAAAAAAGTGCCAAAAACGGTCCAGAGCAGGATTGCTTTCCAATGGAATTGCAACTCTTGAAAACCAAAGAGACCTGTTTCACAGTCTTGGTCTTGGCAAATGATTCTTCCCCAGTGCACTAAATGGAAGAGAAATCTGCCTATTAATCAGCAGGGTCAAGCTTTGACCCTTTTCAACCCAGTTCTGTGAATTTTGAAGGCATTTGCATTTTCAGTATTTTGTAAACTTGACCCAGAAGTAAAAAAAACGTATCCTACCAAAACACCAATTGCTTTCAATTGACAGTTTAATTCACACTGCTTTGCAAGGGTCGTATTGATTGTAAATCACAAGAAACCGTGTTAAATGATACAAAGAGCCAGAAAAGGTCTATAGCAAGGTTACTTTGCAATGGAAATGCAACTCTTAAAGACTGAAGAGACTGAAGATAATCTTGGTCTTGGCAGATGATTCTTCCCTAGCACACTAAATGGAAGAGAAATCTGCCCATTAATCAGCGAGGTTGTATTGATCCTGTTAGACAGCATGCCTGCCCGACCTCAGCATTCTCAATGAGATGGCATAACTTTCCTCTTTCATGGTCACGCGATTGGAAGGTGATGTGAGGATACATGGGTTTTCCCGGAATCTTTGCATGCATATGCTGGATTGTGGGTCAAAGTTCTTTGGGCCAAGTACGGTTGGGGTAGGTCATTTTGCTTGTAAGAGGAAGGTAACTTTGAGAAAATGGAGTATAGGAACCGAATGTTCAGACTGTAGATACTCAGCAATTACAGAGCAACATTTGTTTGCATCTGCCAATGTGGAATTGCAATGTGGTTTTTGAGGGCTGGTGGTCTCCATCCATAGATCATCCAGACATAGGGTCAGTGGCTCCAGGGGCTCCACATCTGTCTATGGCTCCCCCAGGGGGAATCTCTTTTACAGGGCTTCAGTTTCATCCTCGTCTGTTCTTCTGACACAACCTGGAAAGAGAGAGGCAAGAAAATGAGCTGTCAGCACAAAGTGGATAATAAATCACGGCTCACTGCTTGGAGCCAATGGCATATCCGGTCCTGCCATTGTGTCAGCATCATTTAAAGACATGTGATAACATTGGGAAAATACACTGTTACACAGCCACTTATTCATTTGCACTTTTTAATAATACAGGGGATGCTCACAAAACTGTACAATCCTGTGCAATAAACCAAGGAAATTTTCTTTCTTAAATATATAGAAAAAATATTTCTTCTTCATCTTTATTTATTTATTTATTTTCCATTACAAATATCTCAAAATTCTTAAATCAGGATAATTTAGAAAGAAAATGACAAGTCTTGTTTCTGGAAAAAAAAAAATGCTTAAAGGGGTCATATGATGCGATTTAAATTTTTCCTTTTTTTTTTAAGTGTTACAAGCTCTTGGTGCATAAAGAAGATCTGTAAAGTTGCAAAGACTAAAGTCTCAAATCCAAAGAGATATTCTTTATAAAAGTTAAGAGTCAACCACGCCTACCTAAAATGGCTCGTTCGAACATGCCCCCACATGTCTACGTCACGATGTGGGAAGATTTGCATAACGCCACCCAAATGTTCACGCAAAGAAAGAAGGTGTAACTTTTATTCTCGCTGTAGTATTGTTGCCGCCGCCACCGCCATGTCGTGAAGGCGCTGTGTTTCATTGTGAAAGCGAACTACTTTGTTTGGCCTTCCAAAAGAGTACGATATCTGCATCGTCATGCCTGGAGCTGATCCGTGCTGGTCGCTGAGGAAATACATCAACTTAGCACTGTGGATCGCCGGATTCGTCGCTCACTCAGCATGCCGGCCGGTCCTCACTCTAGTCCCCGGCCTCTGCTCACTCTAGGCCTCCGCTCACTCTAGCCCGCCGTGTGTGATGCTGTGTTTCGTTGTGAAAGCTAAACTACTTTATTTGGCCTTCCAAAAGAGTCAGTGGTCAAGTTGTATTTACAACACTGTTCCAGAACACTTCAACCCAAATATTCAGATGTGTGCAGCACATTTTCTTTGTAAAAATCAACACGTTTCAGAAAGGCGGGGCATAGAGGAGAAACAATAATGTACAGTATGTGGAAGATAATGTGTTTTTTGAACCTTAAACCACATAAACACATTTCATTACACCAAATACATAAAATAATGTTCTTTTTAGCAGCATCATATGACCCCTTTAAAATGAGAAAAAATATCAGCAGAGTAGGAAAAAATATCTTGTATATAAGTTAATTTTTCTTACCCCACTGCCAATTACTGAAAGATATTTTTCTTGTTTTAAGCATAAACTCACTTTGTTCTGATACTTTATTTCGGAGTCTTTCTGCTTCTTAGGTAAATGTATCTTCATTTAGGAATGCTTTATACTGGAAAGACAGAAATATTGAGTAAGAAAATCATTTTTTTATTGAGAACTGTGAGAGAAAATGCTTGAAGGGTCTTTGAGGATCCACTCAGACGTTTTTTTTTTTAGTTTAGTTTTTGATGTTAGAATGATACAGACTTTATAATTTGGACCTTTATTTAACATACCATAAGTGCATGTCATTTTTTTTTAAAAGAAATGTCCATGAAATGTCTTTGATCTTTGATTTTTATTTAAACACAGATAAATATTTTATTACTTAAAACTGCCTTCTCATCACCAGACTTGACTGGGTTCTCGGTTTTGTTTCTTTTAAGTATCGACTTTGTCTCTGATGTTTCTCATATAATTTCTTAGAACAAATCAAAATAAATGCAATAGTTGACATACAGTAAGTGTATAGAGCCATAACATAAATATGGAGAGCAGTTCAGATCATTTGATTTCGGAAGAATTTGATGAGAAATGTTCCTATTGAGATCTGATAGTTGATTGCAAACTCTGGTATTTTGGCAAAAGTGAACATGGTTTGAAACTCTAGAGGATATCACTTGGGTAATTTTTCCTGAGAACCAGGAGACTTCAGCAAAAAAATTACTCTCAATTTACATTTCCTCTCAGTTGAATCTAATTTCTGTCAAGGAGAAACAATTGAGCTATTAGGGGGATCACATTTTCTTTTCTACAGGATCACTGAGCTTGAAAGTTGGCTGAGGGAAAAAGAGAGATTTGATTAGAAATATCTTAAGGAACACACTCTTGAAGTGATTCACAAGACACCAAATGAACACAAAGACAATTTTACTCTAAGATAATGTTCTTTTTCAAGGCTAATATTAAAACAAATGCAAGTATGGCCTGTCTGGCCAAGAATTATATAATTTCTAATCATGTGTTTGATGGATTCATGCAGGTCAATAAACTTCCATCATTAATAATTCAAGCTGAGAGACTGTGGAACAGTGTTTGGAGACCCATTAGACCGTCCTGTTTAATATTCACACACCGAGCTGCTAGCGTTTGTCTGATAGCCAAGGTCGCAGGAGTGCTAATCAACACACTGGGCTGACATTTCACAAAAATTAAGCACAAATGATGAAAACTCGACACAAAACACAGCTCAATCTCATCCGCTCGTCTCATCCCAAATGAAATTATCATTCTAAAAAATGGAAGACACACAACAAAGTTTTAACTGGAACTAAGATCAGGTAATTTGAGTATGTTTTTTATGCAGACCATCAAAAGATGAGTTAAACTCTCTGTCATGTCCAACACAATCTTATTAGCATTTGGCAGAGTTCACAGATAGCTGACATAGACCTCATTTCTATACTTGTCAGCTCAGAACGGGGGCAGATTTAAATCAATGTAATTGTCTACAGAATGATGCATTTGCGATCACGGGTTACATGCACAGTATCTGTAGATACTTCACTCCGATTATGCCAGTGGAATAAGAAAACACTGGAAGTATTTGCTTCTGCTTTGTTATTCTGGAAAAATTTGATCTCTATTTTTTCCCGATCAATTACATGCGAAACTTGTGACATTAGTATGCATACTGTGTGCATATTACAATAACTGCTCAGTGAAGCAAATACTACTTAGATGTATAAATGTACAATTTTACAGTAAAATGTTTCCTTTACAAATTTACATTTAAATCATGTTATTGTTATATTAAAGTAACAAGTACTTAAACTTTTGTGCCGTGCTGAAAATGTGTCTAATTTGGTGTTCCCAGTCAATGATGACCAGATTTTTAAAAATTGCTTGTAAATCTTTCATTATGCTATATTATCACCAAATCTTAGATTCAATATTTTTATCAACTTATTTTCTTTCCATTCACACTGGTTTTGTATTTCTTTTTGGAAGTGATTGATTGTAGGCCTCGTTGATCTGAACTTACGCACCTCAGTTTTTTTGAATGAAAAAAGCATAATTTGTGGATAAACTTGGCAACATGCACAAGATTTTTTTAAAACGTTGTTATACCCTTTGTTACACAAGGGTTAATGTGTTTAATGTACTTAATCACAATTGAAAAAAATCTTAATGGTGCTAAAATAGGCTTTATTTTGTTTATGCAAAATAAAATTTTTAAATTTTAGAGAGAAATATACAACATTTCAAATTGCTGAAGATGTTGCTACAGATTTTCCAATGCACCAAAACCTGAAATCAAAATTCAGAGCTCTCAATATAAACAAACATTTCTCACCAAACAACATGCTTCTATCCATATTCATTTTATATCT